AGCAGCAGCAGCAGCAGCAGCCGCCTTCGCCAGACTAGTACCAGCAACAGCCGTACTACCCGCCTCCGACGTCGTACTACCAGCAGCAGCAGCCACCACCGCAGCCTCCGCCACCGCCGTCGTTTCAGCCGCAGCAGCAGCAGCAGCAGCAGCAGCACCAACACTTCACCCATGCCCCGCCCCAGTCGCCTTCTCCCGGAGCAGCAGCTTTTCCGCCTGGGCATCTGCACTCCCTGATGGCACACTTTGTGTCCGCTGACGAGATGAGTTCGCTTTCGGTTTCGAGTGATGTAGGCAGTGTCGCATGTGGTGATCTTGGTTTTGCTTTGTCTGCACAGAGTTACGAGTACAGTCCTGGTAGGGAGGTATTTTGGTCCGATAGCGGTGCAAGCAACCATTTTGTGAGTAACAGCTCCAAAATGTACAACATCTCGCCTCTTCCCCCCGGCAAAGAATACATCAGAAAAGGCAATGGTGCTCATTTGCGCGTGGAGTGTGTGGGTTGTTCGATATACTCGTAGCATAGTATGATGGTTGATTACGGGGCATGGATCTACGGAGATTGTCATTGGTAGATTGTGGGAAAATNCTCGGCCAAGAAGGTCGACTACCTATTACCGGTAGACTCAATCAAAATCGCGACATCGTCGCGCGGTACCGCCGTCAAACGCTCGGCCAAAGAAGGCCGACTACCTGTAGCAAAACGGGTAGACACAATTAATTCAGGTTACCAGTAATCCTCCAAAACTGATGCCAGTGTAAGAAGCTGATGATATGATGTGTGTTTGTATGTATGGTATTAGAAATAGTATCTTGCGTTATGTAATGCAGTAATTGGCAAGTGTTTGTGCTTTGTCTTCCTGTTATTTGCCGTGATGAGAGCAACTTTCTCTCCTCGGCAACAGCGTGATCAACGTTTTATCTGGGCTCTATTTGGTAGCTACTTATTGAGCAGCAGGTTTAGCCTGATCAAAATTGCGTGATCAACGTTTCATCTGGACTCTTTCTAGGGTAGCAGGTGTAGCCTGGTCAAAACTTTTCATGTCTTGGTTATTTCACCGAGTACCTTAGACGTGTCAAGTCTCATCGACGTGCAACATTGGTACCTCCACTTTTGTTGCAGATGAAAATTCCACAATACAGCAGTAGCACAGACGAAATACTGATTTCCGAAGATTGTTACACCTTGTCTTGAGGTTACTATTGTTGTGAGATGTGGAGGTCAGGATATGGAGATTCAGGAAGCACAAACACACGTACATAAAGAGTCAGATCCAAGGGATATGTGATAATAGATCACTGTTGGTCCCAAGGGGTCATGACCCTACAGATTCCCAACGGCTGCGAATAGTTGATGAATCTTTAGGAGGATGGGGAAATGAGTCCACGAAGGCTCACCCACACTCTCCGCACCACCCTAGCTTGACTGAGTTCGCTCGGTCACGCTTGGCATTCCTCGCCACATTGCACCAAAGGAAATAGCCAACCTCCGGTGGCAGGACATAGCCACCACAACCCTGGACTCTCCACTCACCCAGAGTAGAGGGCATCCATATTGGCGTTCGACGAAGCGTTTTTCTTTTTCGCCGTAACCCAAGTCTGAAACATGGGAGGCAACAAAAAGAAAGCAAATACGCAAAACCAAAATCAACAGCCGCCGAAGTCGCAACGCTCTGATGCTGCTACAGCCGCAGCAAAGCCCGCCGCTAAGCCCGAAAAGGGACAGCATAAGGCGAGGCGCGCTGGACAGAATGCTGGTGCTTCCGCGGGCTTAGCAACCCCGTCGAGCACAAACAGCAGCAGCATCGGCTCCTTCGGTCCTCTTGCCGACGGAGATGAGAGCCATGCGGACAACGACAGCAGTGATGCTGAGTCTGCTCACGACGATAACATCGGGAGTCGAACCGACGACGACGTCCACACCGGCAACGGTGATGGACGCGCGTGGGGGGAAGTCGATGACGACGACGTAGACGGACATGACTACGACGACGGCCTCGCGCAGGATATCCTGCGGGACCGCGCGAAAGCACCCCGTCAACCGGGCGCGTCGCTCCTGTCGAGCGGCAGCCCACTCGAGTCAGTTCTGGTCGCTGAGGTCCAGAAAGCAGCGAAGGCCGGGGAGGAGCCCCCAGCCTGGGTCATCAAGATGCTCATGCCAGGCGCCGGCCACCAGAACGACATAGAGAAGGTGAACCCGAGATCGCTTGCCCAGGATCTAGCAGCAGAAAATAGTTCTAGCAGGCGCACCCCAAGTGTTCCGCAAATTTCTTCTGCTCATCAGAACACAACAATTTCACACAATACCCCGGACAACCTCAACGCGGTAAACCAAAAACCAATGAGCCAGGTAAACCAGCAAACGGTAAACCAGGACACGTCTAACCCGGTAACCCAGAACACGGCAAACCAGGGCGTGATTAGCACGACACGATTCACTTTGAAGGCTACCGACCTTCCGCCTGACCTCAAGCTCGAAGGTCTGCCTCACGAAGATGTTCCGGAAAAAATGGCCCTTTACAGAGCACACATCGGGCTATTGTCCGCCGACAACGTCTCTCAAAGCACAATCGATCACCGTGCAATCAGACACCTCCCACTTTTCGTACGAGGTACTGCAGCTCAAAGCCTCAGCCTCATGCTTAGCTCATCACTCGAATGGCGACCACCAGCCCAGCTGCATGCGTTGCGTGCGCGTGGGGAGGCAATCCGAATCTCACCTCCGAAAACATGGAAAGAGTGGGTCACCGCTTTCACTACTTCGTTCGCCCCTGCCAACAGAATCGCTCTTCTTGCACGTGATGTCATGACATTGGAAGCAAAGAGTAGCGAATCCGTTGACGAGTTTGCGCTCAGAGTAACCCGCACGTACGCCAGGCTTTTAGCAGAAGCCGAACGCACAGCTCCGCTGAACGTACCACCTCACGAACACGCTTTTACTCAAGCTCTCACTGCATCTTTCGAAAACGGTGTACACCCGCACATCCGCGTGGAAATGATGAGGGCAGATCCATCCGAATCTTTCATGGAATCTAAAGCGCGTGCTCGTAGACACGAGTCCAACAACCTGCGCTCTCCCTCTGCCCCCGTCTCGGCTACCGCTTCCGCTGTACATGGTCCTGCTCATGCTGAGCAGCTCCAACATGCAACAGCTGACCACCAAAACCGCATCTCGGCCCTGGAGAATTTGATTTCGGGTCAAGATGCGTTCGTGGCGAGCGGGGCTGCGTACACGGGACAGCAGGGCCGCAACCCGCGGAAAGCGGCGGACAAAAGAGACCGCGATCGGTCGCGTGGACCAATCACCCGCACTAAGCCGAAAGTCACCTTTGCCAATAGTACCAAACCGGACACACGTGAGAAGGTCGAGTGCGATTTTATCGGGTGCAAGTTTAGCAACCTAAGATTCACGCACCCGCGATCTGAGTGCAAAAATGAAGAGAGAGCGAAGCAGGAGGGGTACAAAGTTACTAAAAAGTAGGGTCGCCCGAGTAGGCAGCATCCCTCGGCCAACGTGGGACACCAATCATTTGGTTCTTTCAAACCAGTACGTAAAAGCTGGGATAGGCTGCAAAGCAAGAATAAGCAGAAGAGAGCCAAAGTAGATGAGAGGGATACAAAACACTGTAGAAATGGTGTACGACCTCTGGGGGAAACAAAAGGAAAAGCAGGCAGAGAGGAGTGCTGCAAAACAGTTGAAGTACCGAAATCACGAGAAAATTCTTGCGAAGTTTGTAGCAGCAAGCAAACGCGGGAAATTCCCACGTCGAGTACTGGCACAACTGATGCAGTAGACTCTTTAGATCCAGCAGCAAGGGATAGCACCCAAGTGAAGCAAGTAGCAGCAAGTTTAGCGCCGCAAGCTTTGCACGTAGCTACCGTAGCTGGGGACTTCAGGTCCAAACATAGGTCGAACCTAATGAGGACTGATGATAATGAAGAATTTCATGCTTTTTACATGTCTGCACTCGCTGGATACCCCGTGTGTCCATCGGTGTTACGATCGACATCCAAGCGAGTACGTGTATCCGCCAGAATAAACAATGAGTCGGTTGATGAAATTACAATCGACACAGCGTGTGACATACCATGCATATCACACAAGTTCATGAGAAGTCACAAAACGCTGAAAAACACGAAAATATTTCCAGTACCCACAGGAGCAATCAATTTGCGCAGCGCTGATGGTTCGCCCCTGAAAATTAAAGGGTACACTCGATTCGAACTAACACTAGGAGAAATCA